TTCACAGCACTTGTGATTTAATAAATATCATAGCCTGAATATACACAGCATAAACTATTCTTCCTTTTTCCATTTATCCCTCCCTACACCTCCATAAATTTCTCTTTGGAATTGACATCAGTCTATAAAATGCTAACAGATGAGTTTTTAATCTTTGCCCTTGTCTTAAATTTTCTTGAACTACAAAATCATCATTCTCTTCCTTCGAAGCACTTCTCTCTTAAAAATGCCGCATGGTCTATGTTTTCTAGGTTATAACCCAAGTCCTGTCTTGAGCATTTTGTTACTTCATCAGCAGTCGCACAAATGCTGTGGGAGGACTAGAACCTGCAGATCACATCCTTATCATTAGTGACAAGATAAAGTTTAAAACTCAGCCTTGTGTGCAATTAAAATACAAAACAGGGTTTAGTTGTGAGTGTCCTTGAGTCCAGAGGGTCAAACTTACTGTAGAAAAATTAAATCCTTAAAAAGCAAAGAACAAATTTCAAAAGAATTGGGCAGCTGTTGCTTGAACTTCATAATTTAGAAGCTAAAAGGTGTAAGAACCAGAAAACTAAAATGTGATCAAGGTGAGAGTTACAATGGGGATGAGTGTAAAATCTTTGGTCATCGTATTGAAAAGGAAAACTAAATAGTCAAGGGAAGTAAGACACATACAATCAACAGAACTTTCCAGTTGTATCGTTTTAATGTCATTCCGTATTCCCACTGATCTTCACTCAACATTGTATCAAGATAACTGATTAATCTCTATTCCTAATAATTTGTTGTACTTTTCTGCCTCTGTATCTATGTTCACATTAATCCCTTTACCATAGGGTTACTTTCTCACATTGGTTAAGACTTTAACCATCTCAAACCCTTCCTGGGTCACTCCCGAAAGGGTGAGTTAGTGCCTCGTTTTTGGGGAGTACCTGTAACACTTGATTTATTTATACCATTCTATCTAACTCCCTACATTGTAAACTACATTAAAATCATGTTGTCATTATGTATTTCTTATCCACTCTGTGGCACCTCGCCTTGAAAGACATATTTGCTTAAGAAAAATGTCAACCTCAAAACAAGAAGCTACGTGACTTGGCAAAGCAGGAAGGAAAAACTGTTCTCCGATTGTGAGATGTAGATTCAGAATTGTGTCCTGAATCTGAGAAAGAGATGAGTGTGCTTGGAATGGCAGCTCTGGATGGAAGAATCAGAAAAGAAGTCACTCAGTATAGGGAGTATCAGGTGGTACAGGCCGTCCCTTGCTAATTTATACAGTAGTTGTTCTTGTGGTTTTATGTGGCATACTATGGCACTTGGGAAATTTGTCTTATAAATTGAAAACAAAATATTATCATCTCAAAATTCTCATCACCTACCAAATATATTCAAATATGGTCTACCAAACTTATAGCTATGAATTCACCAGTATTGCCACCCCAAGTTTGTCTTTTTACCAACTACTGTTACGAGAATGACCTTTTTGAAGTAGAAAATTTATCTCATCACTTTCCACTAAAATTACTTGAAGCTTTTCTCATTGCCTGAAAGAGGATCTCTTCTTTATTTGCAGAAATGCAATTTTCCTTGAATAGTATTTTTTTAAAAATCACCTGCTTTCTGATTTTTACCACCCATCATACAGACAGGATTAATCATTCCCCCATGTGTTGACAGTTTACAGAGACTGTGTATGTGCATTTAGTGCATAATAGTTCCCATTTATGCACATCTACCTATCTTTCATCCACCCTCCCACCTGCACAGCCATCTACCTCAGGGTTTTTGATTCACTTTTATTGTCTAAGGAACCAAAGAGAGTGTCTGGCATAAGGTGGCCACTAAATAAATTTAGTTCAATAAACACTCTTAGTCTTTTCTCGCATTCCCAGGGAATTGTATCTCTACTGCATCATAAAACATATGCCTTTTTCCCTTGATATCACTGAATTGCTTGTAGATCAGTCTCTTCTAATAAGCCACGACCTCCTTCCCTTCCACCTTCTTCTCAGGAGTACAGCACAGCGCCATGCACTGAAGAGATACTCAAGGAACAATGATTCAATTAAATTGTTTTGAAAGAAAAACCTGGAAATTTAAATTTTTAATTTCTCTCCCTGACTCAAAAAAAAATCAGACCCCCCCCCCCAAATTTAAAGACCCAATCCAAAACTGGGTATCTGAAATAAATAGACACTTTTTAGATGAAGATGTACAAACAGCAAATAAATATATGACAAACTAGTTCAACATCACAAGTCATTCAAGACATGCAAATTAAAGCAACACTGAGATTCCATCTCACTTCAGAAAAAATGACTATCATCAAAAAAATCTGGTGGAACAAATGGTGACGAGACTATGGGGAAAAGGGGTGGGAATGTAGACTGGTTCAGCCTCTGTGGGCATCAGATTCCTCCACAAACTGAAATCAGAGGTTCCCTTTGACCCAGAAATTCCCCTTGTTGGTATCTCCTAACAGCATCATACTACAGAGATATATGCACACCCATGTTCATAGCAGCATAATTTTTAATTGTTAAATCTTGAAAACAGCCCATTGGCCATTATCAAATGAAATTATAAAGAAAATGTGGGTTTTATATAGAAGAGAGTACTAGCCTTCCATAAAGAATACACTTGAGACATTTTTAGGTATATGTATGCAATTTAAGGCCATATTTTTAAGTGAAATAAATGTGACACATATGTTTAAATACTGCATTGTTTCTCTTGTGTGAAAACCCTAAAGCACAAATAAGAGCCAAACTAGATGATAGATATTTAGAAGTAGGAAGAAAATGTTCAAATAGGAAAGGAAATGGGGTCAGGGGGGTTGAGAGAAAGAAGGAAAATGGGAAAAAAGAGAATAGAAAAGAAAAATGGAAACAATGTTTTTATAAACAAGGAGGGGAAGGAAGGTTGAAAGTAGAGGAGAACAGAAAAAAGAAGAATCAAGATATATTATGTACAGTTACTAATACCCTCTGAATATGATCATTATGCATATCAAAGATGTGCCAATAAAATTCATACTATAAAAAGGAAAAAAACTATTTTTGTTTATAAAAAATAATTTAACTTTCTGAATATCTTGAGTAAATAACCAACAGATATAGATTGCAGTTTTCCTCTAACAAGGAATAAATCTCTAATTGATACTCACTGTGTAGTATAAGAAGCTAAATATAAGCATGTAATATTAAAGCCCAAGTCTCCATTCTTGGACCGCTTAAAATCTTCCTAATTATTTTTGTGGATTTGGGACATGTTGACAAAATTTGTTCTAGTCCAAAGTCACATTCTACAGTGCATTTATCATCAAGTCAAACAATAGCAAGGGTAGAAAGAATTTTCTGTAGGGTTTAAAAATCTGATGAATTTACAATTTCTTGATTTTACACATCAACATAATCAACAAGGAAATATTTCCTTTTCTTCTCCCATTAGAATTAGGTACTGGTCCAGGAAAAACAGTGTGGAGCTCTGTATTCAAAGGAGGTGGGGGTGCAGTGAGTCATAGAGAGGAGGACAGGAAAGACGCACAGTTTATTCCTATCAGCCATCCGTCCCGTCCGGAAGAGGCAGTAACGATCCTGACTACAGTGCTGGTGGCTTCACCAGAGTTCACTCTTCCCTCCCTCAGTGTTTCCCATCCCTCAGGGCCAAGGCAGAGTAATGAGAACTGCCATTAGCACATTCAAACAATGAGACGGTATCTGACCCAACCAGAGTACAATGCACTGCATAATTATGACCACAATTCCAATTAGTACCAGTTTACGACCTCAGCTTTCAATGTAAAAACAGACCAGAAATGTCTGATTTGAATACTTCCTTGTTTCATGGGTTATACTTACTCGGTTGCACTTCTCAATGTTAAATCCTGAATCCTAAAATGATTGTTGAGATGCATGTGTTTATTTTATTTATTTTTATGTATTTTGGTTTTATGTTTTGATACAGGGTTTTACTATATAGTTTAGGCTGGCCTTGAATTCACTATGTGGTCCAGGCTGCCTTTGAATTTGTGGTGATCCTTCTGCTTCAGTCTCTATGCCCAGCCAAATGTGTGTATTTAAATAGAGAGAAGTTAGGCATGGTGGTGCATGCTTATAATCCCAGTAATCGGGAGGCTGAGACAGGAGGATCAGTGCATGAGTTCAAGACCAGCCTAAACTGCATAGGGAGTTCATGTCTCCAAAAGTAAGTAAGTAAATAAATAGAAAGAGAGAGGGATAACTTTAAAAGGCAGAGTAGTTGACTTATGCATGAGAATGTGACTAAAACAAGTCACACTGTATATTCAACACCCAGGTGTAAGGCCCAGAATAGAGTAGCAGCTCAATGAGATGAAGTTTATTCGTAGATACCTGTGTTTGTTCTTTCTTCCTTTTTTACTTTCTGTCTTTGTTTTTGGCATCATTTTGGCCTTATTCTCTCCTTCATCTCTACCAAAAGTATCCACTGGGGATGATTAGGACTGTTACGCCCACAATGAGAAGAGGAAGTTGAAAATTTGACTTGCAGAGTAACAGGTTTTTGTGGCTCATTTGTCCTGTGGAATGATATTTTTAAGGATTGCTCTTCTTGAAAAGATAAAGGGATTCCCTTCACTCTTTCATACTTTACCGTATTAAAGACCTCCTTAACATATTGAGAGGTAGGCCCTTGAATATGTTTCGACTGCAAGCAAAGAGGGTATGACCATGCTCAGAAGGCTGACATACAGTGCGACCCTGGTACTCTTGGGAATTACGTGAAAAGAGTTTGAAGCAGTGGGAAAGGAGCAGCCTATGGTTCTCTCTCAGGTTGGCACCGTGAGGGCACCTAAGGTGAAAACATTCAGACAGCTACATGGGAGCCCAGATACGCATACCCCCAGATGCTATTTTAGACAGGAGCAAAGAGGGGTGAAGTATATGAAGTGTGATTTTAAAATAAATGTTTAAATTAAAACAAAATGTTCTACTAAAAGACCCATTGCCACTAATCATCCTCAAAATACTCACCCACACTCTGAAGACATTTATCCCGTCAGTCTTGCTATTTATGAGACAGCTCTGGAAGTCCTCTTTGCTGAGTGTCTCTAGTTCTGCTACCGTGGCTGTCTCTATGTCCTCTATCAATTCAGTGTTTACCTTCCAACGCCATTTTGACATTAGGAAAAGCCAGACGTTTCAAGGTGCCAGACAGGGTTAGTTAGGTGGATTAGGACATACCACAGTGCTTATACTAGCCACCTTCCCATTGGGTGGCACTAGGCAAAGGCATCTGACAGCAGCATTCACTGAATTTTTTTTTATCAGACCCCATAAAGATATAAAAATAGACTTCAGAACAGCTTCAGGGAGTGGCCTGAAAGATGGCGTAAGTGTATTCAAAGGGAAAAGGAGTATATTGAAGCATATTAATAGCAAAGTGTCTTTTACTATAAGAATTTTTTAAATTAAACATTCACCATATATTTTCATCACCACTTATATTTAAAGGAAATAATTTAATCCAGAAAAGACTGGCCACCATGCTGTTAACTGGAATGTTTAAATTTTCTTTCTTTCTTTTTTTTTTTTTTTTTTTTTGGTCTTTTTCTTTTTTATTGGTACCAGGGATCAAACTCAGGACCGCCTGCTTGCAAGGCAGGGGCTTATGTCGCTGAGCTAAATCCCCAGCCCTGGAATGTTTAAATTTTCTACCTCATTAGGGTGGGCTTAAGAGCAAGATTTGATGGGTTGGAGAGAAACTGGCTATATTTTATTACAGAACTGAGTGTGGAACCCCGATATCCCTACTCAAGTGGTTTAAACAGCATCTGTTTTCTCCTTATTTCTCTGTTTTTGACGATACATTTTTACATTTGAGACGAGTTCCTGTAGTGATTTCATCTCACTCCCTTCCCCTGGGTGATCTGTTCCCTACGTAGTCCTTTCTCTTCTTTTTCTAAATCCTCTTCATCAAATTCTCCTACATCTTTGAAAATGTTGATCCCAACCCTGCAGATGCATGTGCCTGTGGGTTTTCTGACGTGCTCTTTACAGATGTCTACAGATAGGCGAGATATGGAATGCTGTCCAAGGAAGCACAAATCATGGGCTGATGCTGTGGCTTTCACCCAAACTTTAACCCTAATCTTAATTCTTGCAGACTGTTGAAAATGACTACATAATAAAATATAAAGTGTTTTTTAAATTTTATAGGGAACGAGGCCTTTGAGATTATCAGTTAAGCCATTGCATTTCTTCAAAATTAGAAAGCTTAGGCCTCCCCAAAGGGATTATTTAGCATATTCAAGGTCACAGAGCTGATAATCCACTACGCAAGAGCCAGTGAGGTTCCCTTGACAGCCACACATTGACTCAGCTGTTCTGTGTTGTGTTCAAATCCTAAAGCCTTTCAATTCCAAAAAAGTTTCTCTACATCCTAACCTCTCTAAACACAATTTTCTCTTCTTTTCACTTCCAAGTACTTAGCACCTCTGAGATTGTGTCACATGTATCATTACATGAGAATGGTATGTGTATATGTTGAGTATCTCTACTCTGAAAACCTAAAACAAAAAATGCTCTCAAAAGTGAATCTTTTTGAGCACTGATGTCCTACCACAAATGGAAAATTCCATACCTAACCTTCATGTGATAGGTGCCAGCCAAAATGCAGATGAACTAAAAATATGATATAAAATTACCATCAGGCTATGTGTACAAGGTGTATATGCAACATACATGAATTTCATGTGTTGACTTAGGTCTCACCCCAAAGTATATCATTATGTGTATGCAAATATTTGAAAGATCCCCTAAGTCTGAAACATTTCTCATCCCAAGCCTTTTAGGTAAGGGATACCCTACCTATACTTGTAACAAAAGATGTTACATGCTTATTTGTAAGCACACCTTTTTTCTGATCTTAAAACTTAGATTGTAATTTGAAAAAAATCCAAATTTTCTCTTTGTCAATTTTTGCATCTGGATCTCCTGCAATGAACTAAAAGGTAGCTATTCACAACAGAATGACCAAGGTGAGCATCTCACTGGGATTGTGAAACTCAAGAAGGCTCTGCACAAAATAAGTAGAAGCTGCCAGTGCCTTGGCCATCATAAATGAAATGGTTCCCCGATTCTGTCCATAGCTCTGCTTTTTTCTGCACCATTTCCTGGAGGTAGAGTCTCAGGAGGAGAGGCCAGGGGTGCTGGTGTAATGACTGTAGAATTGTGGGTCTGTAGCACATTTGCCCATAAACTGTGGGGATTAGCCTCTCAATGCCTCAGGATTTCTTTACAAACAGTGTTGGGCACATTGCAAGTTGAAGACTTAACAACCTTTTGACAAGATTTTATAAGCTGGACAAGTCCATCCCCAGCCAATTTTTTTTTCCTTCTTCTAAGATATTTGTGGCCACAAAGGACAATGTAACCTTTGGTAGCAAATTTTCCTTCTGTCCTCTGAAATACTCTCTTCCTCCTCTCAAAATCTTTTTTGGATGCCTGTGGCATGCCACTCACAGTCTGCTCACTTATTACCACCCAAATAAACTCACAGTTAAAAATACAATCGAGATGGCTTCTGTTTCATGAACAACAGACCTTGTTTCATTAAAAATACAATCCTACTCTGAGGCACTGCAGAAACTTTTTTTGATGCTTAAGAAGAAATACCAGCAAGCAACGAGAGAGGGCCAGGCCAGACCTTTCCCATGTTGTTCTTAATTATTTTTATTTCATGCTCCCTGTACCTCTGGCCTTAGCTGAGGCAGAAAGCAGTGAAATGCCATAAAATAACCCTCTCTCGAAGTATATTTGGCCTGACAGGAAACAGGAAATACCAGAAAAGATCACAAGAAAAGCTGTAATCATAAGATTTCTAGCCTAATTCTTTTGACGTCAGCAGTTTAGATAAGTCAGATAAGCAATCACAAGCATCCGCAGGCTCTGGAGTGCCAATCCAAATACTCAAAGTGCATCTTCAACCCTTTTGAACTCTCACATTGTTGTTTAGCCCTTGCTGTCCTCTCATTCCCCCAAGAAGCACATCCTGAAATTGTGAATTATGGATTTAGAGTCAACATTAAGGTGTTCAAAGACATTACACAGAGCTTCTAAATTGGTCTTATGACCAATTCATCTTGCTCCATGCATTATAATCCCTGGATGAAGTTAACTGTTTATACATCATAGGAAAGTTAAATCTGGTTCATCTCAAAGGGAGTTTGCTTCCTGAAGTTTAACTTTCCCAATCTTAGCAATTAATCTGTGGCTATGTAATTTCTTTGGCAAAATGCTAAAAGATATATTACTATATCCAAAATATGTAGTAATGTCTTTATTTTTACCTTTCCTTGACTACTACCACCTTGGTTGCCCATCACAACAAAACATTTAGAGGCTGATAAAGTATAAATGACATGAGGGACATGCCTCCCTCTGAGTTTTCGTAGCTTTGGAATGAGTACTATGGAGCGTAACCATTATATAATAAGCAGAGGCATTATGTGTGGGCTGCTTAGAGGATGATGTAAGGGTCCAAATTAAGATTTAAATAGATATTGCATTACATGTAAATTAAGTTTTTTTTAAGCTAAGGACAAGAATTTATTTGTATATCTGCCTACAGTAAGCCCCAACTTACAAACATTTGAGTTGTGAACTTTCACAGGTATACTGCATGTACAGTATAAGGTTCACATTGTAGGCTTATGAACAAATCCAACTTATAAACAATTCGCTTAGAACGGAACTTGTTCGTAAGTCAGGGACTTACTGTATTTGCAAAAAGATTTGTAAGCTTCTAAAAAGCTTGCAGTAAAACCTAACTACACAAAGTCATAAAGCCATTCTGTCAAGATCAATGACAAAAGCCATATGGAAAATAGGAGAGAAAGAAAAGAATTACATACGAAAAAGAATTGAGCAAAACTGAGATCTGAGTTCTAAGCAGACAGGAGGAGAGACAGATGTGAAGATAACATGCATTACCTTGAGGAAAACTTGCTAGCAAAGAAAACATTTTTCCTGGCTTTGGATAAACGGAGCAATTTTGGTTCAGGTTCCTTTTATGATAATGTAGGATGTCCTTCCAAGGAATTTTAAATGTTCAGGTGTGCCACCTGGGAAGAGTTAATAGACCCCTTTGTGGAAAAAGGTTCCTGAGAGATCACTTAATGGGGAACAAAAGGAGAGGGGCCCTAGCTTGGGCTTTTGAGTGGTCTGAGACGAGTAATCAGGAACATTTACATAATGGTGGGGCACACGAGAATGGAAAAGTGTAGCCTTGTAACACTGTGCAAGTCTCTGCATAGTTCAGCAGTGTATTAAGTTAGAGCACAGCCCTTGGGAATCTCCAACTCACGTGGTTCTGCTCGTCCCATAACTGGGTATACCTACCACTACACTCTAAAACAAACTGAGGAGAATCAAGAAACAAGATAGTAGATAATAGAAATGTCTTTTTCTTTGCTTTTGATCTGTGCCGGACATTTGGATCTAACTATAAAGACACTATACTAATTAACTCATATGTGAGCCTTAGCTCTACACCTGGCTTTTTACTTGGTACTCTTTACCTTGATTAGCAGTTGTAAGTCCCTTGTCTCATTGATTTTTCCCTCAGTGTATGAATATATATAGATGTAGGCTCTCAAAAATGTATGCTGTATACAAAGCTCACCGTAAATATTTGAATTTTTTTTCATTTTCCTTGAATCTGTTTCTCATACTTCACCTAACATTCCCAGTAAAAATCCTTTTAATACTTGCCAAATGTTCAAAAAAGTTGAATATATATATATATATATATATATTATTTTTTTACATTAAAAGACAAATATTGGGGCTGGGGATTTAGCTCAGCAGCATAAGCGCCTGCCTTGCAAGCAGGCAGTCGTGAGTTTGATCCCTGGTACCGATAAAAAAATGAAAAAGACAAATATCACACTAAAGGAAATACAATGAGTATGAAAATAAGTGAACTTACTCAGTACAAAACAAAAGACTAGCAGATAAGTCTTAAGCATACCAAGAACTATGGTCTAGATACTGTCTGAAGTCACTTCCAAGTCTCCTTCCTGAGATAGGACCAGTATGGTACAAGCAAAGAGCATGGCCTTCGTGAAGTAGATTATTTGTAGAAAGAAAGCAAGAATCTTGCTTTGTCTAAGTATGATGTAGAGGACAGAGATCTTGTTGAATAAGTAAGAAGTCAAGTGAAAGGCTAAAAGATCTGAAGAAGTAGAGGATTGGGCAGAGTAACACTTGCTT